CTCTGCTGAAACCATCCCCAAACTCCTACTTGATCGCTCACAGCCCTCTGTACTCCAGGCCATGAGCCACATGAAGACTGTGACCCAACGTAGCAGTTAGCACACAGCAAACCAAATGGCTTTTGCTTAGGGGATACTATTTGACTAGATTAAGACCAGAGTAAGATGTACCTTTTAGGGTTTACCAGAGAAAAAGAAAATTACACACACATATTCACAAAACTAAACCTCCCTCTTATAGAATGTTTTATGCCCAGGGGGGCCCTCTTGGTCCCAGGCTTGCAGAAGATACCTTGTTTCAGTCATCTGTTTTTGTGAAAACCGGAAGGAAGAGCCCTGTTACCTCGTGACTCTCATCCCTGAAAACAGGTCTGTTCTGTTCCTAGTACACGCACATGTTCACAGATAAAGATCAGTTGAATAAAACATACCATAAGGAAACTCACATAGACATCCCAGATCAGGAAACCTCAATAAGAAACAGGCAACAGAGGAAAAGAAAAGGAAAAAAAAGGCAGCAATTCATGTTCAAAAAAATGATGAATTACGCTGTTCAGGCATCTTCCTGGAATTACTAATCTGTCTCTCTCACCCACTCATGTCTATCGCCTAGGTATTAGGGATGGAAATATTACAGGGTGACCATGGGCATGAACACACCTGTATAACTGAGATGTTGGGAACTGTATTCCAACTTTGGATGGCTTTGTAAACTTCTTGTTGGTGCCATGGGGTTAGAGTATATTTTAGGAGAACTAAGAATGTTGGCTGCATTAATCACCCTGGAAGTAGCTAATACTGGCAGAGAAATGGGGTGGATCTTTGGCATAGGGAAGGGAGGAACTTCCTTCCCATTTGGGGGTTGGAAAACTTCTGCTCTGAGGTGTGAAAAAGGGCTGGAGCTGCTCCCATGAGAGAGTGGGGTGGGTGCCATAGGAGGCCAGAATGGGCAGCACCATTCTGGGAACACCAGAATGAGCAGCGACACTAATAGTGCAGAGAAAGGGCCTGTATTAGGGGGAGCTGCCCCCACTGCAGAGGTGACCGACCGTACCCGCTGGTCTCTCTGAATGACACTGACATCACTTCCCAGAGCTCCCTGGCTCACCTGCAGCTGCAGGCAGCTCCCAGCAAGCTGCTGGCCCTCTCTGCCCTCAGGCCCTCTCCTTCTTTGATTCCATAGGAGCACAAGCTGGAGGTTTTACTTCCTGTATAGGCAAACCTCAACCACAAGGCACAAAGAATAAATGCCTTGCATCCCTGTCTCGGGAAGGGTGATTCTGAGATGTGTTGTCCCCTGGTTTCTCAGAGAGCCCAGCTATGGGCCCTGGTCAATCGGCATTTCTCTCTTCCCCTGTTACATTCCCCACTGAGTTATCTGTATTTTCTAAGATCATCTCTCATTTAAGCTTCCTCCACCCAAGTCCTTGTCTTATCGTCTGTTTTTTAGGAAAATCTAAACTAAAATCTGCCAGGGCAGATGGAAAGACTCAAAAAACTGGGGACAATGGGGAGTCTGGGTTAGGCAGCTAAGAAGGAAGAACTGGGAAGAGGCTGTTGTGAGAGACGCTTCCAGAAATTCCTGGGGACTCTGAGAAGGGCCATTTTCCTGCCAGCAGACCAGACACTGCTGTGAGGAAGTAGCATGCGGCCACACAGAGGTGAACCAGGCAATTCTACCCCCTACAGAGCTCATGGCCAGAGCGCACCCAGCCCGTCCTTGTCACCTGAGGCCACCTAGAATCTCAGTTCAGCTATAAAACACACATAACTCTCTGCAAAGAAAATCAGCATCTTCCTTAATTCTGCTTCTAGGTTCTGAGTCATTGCTACACAATGTCATCAGCACGTCTTCCTGGATTCCTTATCCTTACCTGATGTCTACGACATGTGATCTTGGATTACTGGAGGTCCCCATGCCCTTTCCACCATTTTCTATGTGTTGGTGTTTCATACGTTTACTAATATCAAGCTCAGCCTCTTCCAACTCGCCTAACCAACTCAGTATCAAGGAGGTGTACTACCTAACACCGGTAGAAGCTGATTGTCTAGAATTAACCATGCCTGATTCATCTTAGTACCACCAGGTGAGAGCACCCTACCTAGCTGCAGATGTTTGATCATTGATGCTGCAGATAGCACATGAAAGACACTCACTAATACGCCCAAACGTTGATATCTAAATACGATTCTCTCATAAAAGCAATCAGGGCTCCTTGAAAGAGTGTTTGATTTCAGGACTAGAGTAAGGAAAATACAAGATGGTTCTGGGGCGTCTTATGATGTCAGAAGGTAAAGAAGTACTGAGAAAGAAAATACGGGACAGGAAAAAAATAAAGTGTTCAGGAGCCAAGCTGACAGTGGCCAAAGCTGAGGTAGATGAGCAAAAACATGAACAGTTAGATACTGGGTTAAAATCAAAAGTTTAAAGTAAAGATCCTATGTCCACAGTGATATAATTAAATAACTGAATAAATATCCAAGAATGACAATATCACCCTTCCTTTTAGCAGAATTCCAAAGAATAAATGCAGAAGGAATAAAGAGGTAATCGCCACTAGAACACTGCCATAATAACTGTGGCAGATGTGCTCCACCAGTGGATGCTAAGACTAGTGGGAGACGTTAAAGCAGAATCAGGATATCTGCATAGTCTCGAAGTATCTCCCCCCACCCCCAATAAATTACAAGGAGAGAAAAACAGTAACTTTGCAGTGAACACATCAATTAAGATACCACCTTAATCATATGATTGAGGTTAACATGATCAGAGATAAGAAAAACGGTCCAGGGGAACTCAAGGTCAGAGGGGTCACTCTAAACTCTGCCTCCAGACTGATCCATTCCAGGAGCTTCTGGTGTGTATTTTTTTTCTTTCTTTCTTTCTTTTTTTTTTTTTTTACTGCAAACTAGTTGCGTTCACCTGGGTGTCCTCCCTACAGGTTTTGAATGTCTATGTCCAGCCTTAGACCTTTAAGTTTAGGGTCTAAATGTAAATTTACACGAGCAGCATCATCTCTGCAGTGAATCACCCTTTCAACATGAAGGTGGAGATGGGAAACAATCTAATCTGATTATATGAGATGCCTGGCTTGGCATCATGTACGCTATGACACTGGGCTGTTGTGTAACCATTCCCAGAGGGAAGATTACCTCACGACCATGTTCCAGTACCCCGTGGCCACATTCCCCCTTTGCTTTGAAAGCCCAGAATAGACCATTTTGACAGTTTCAGATTCTAACTGGAAACCTGCTGGAGAAGGCAGAAACTGGACTCACCAGGAGAGATGCTCAGGGAGGCCTCCTGCTTATCCATGTCTGTATGAGCTAAACCTTTTTCATTGTTCTCTCCACATTCAGTTGGAGTTCACAAACCTGCAAATATTAACCCTCACTAATATTGATGTCTGAGTGCAAAATCAGTTTAGCTTCCTAGAAATTACTAGATTTCACAATAGCCCTTCATCCAATGCTAGGCAACATGTACTAGACACTCTGATGGTGTTGGAGGGAACCTAAATACATGAATGAGAACTGGTTTTTGACCTGGATATCCACATGCGTTTATATAAACAGCTACAAGCCACATGGAAAGTGTTTTGAGGCATGGATACATAGACGTGTGTGTATACATAGACTCCCTCATATATATATAGAGAGAGAGGGAGAGGAACCTGAAGAGTATGTGACCATCTCTTCTAAATGTGACTATATTGACAGGGACTAATTCGGTGGATTCTAGAGATTGGGAGGATGAGCAATAAGAGTTTGCCCTGGTGGATGGGGAGGAAGAAGGGCCTCAGAGGTAGAAGAGCAGCATGGCCAAAGGTGCGGGGGTGTTGACGTGCATGGCCCGTGTAATAATGTAACAACAGTATACATAAAAACCGTAAAACCAACAACAGTGATGACAGACATTTATTGGGCATTTACTATGTGTCAGGCACTATTCTGAGCACTTTACATGTGTTCCCACACTGCATGAACCCCATGTGTGGGAGAGGCCGGAGGTGAGGCTGGAAAGCCAGCAGGGGTCAGATGATGCAATATTCCAAATGCTGTGCCAAGGGGTCTGGCCTTTGTCCAGCAGGAGAGAGCCGCTGAGAGTTATAAAGAAGTGCTGGCAAGATCAGACTCGTGATTGAGAACATCTCCTCGGCTAGCTGTGTAGGGAATATGGTGGAGGTGAGTTTGGAAGGTTTGGAAGGTTCGGACATGTGAAAATGGCAGAGAGGATGGATTCAGAAGAGGGTTTTGAGCAAAAAGAAATGGGCCTTGGTCACCTCCCATAGATTCTGTACATGGAGATACGTAGCAAGAGGGATATTAACTCAGAGAGGAAGAAATAGCTTTAGAAAAGAGGATGAATTTGGCCTAAGGTGCACCCAGGTAAAGGTACCTAGTGGGCAGCCAGGAATTGTGGCATCTTGAATGTGAGGGGAAGTCTGGGTCAGGTTTAAAGTCAGGAACAGTGAGGTGAAGCCCACTTCATTTCAGTCAGATTTGCCCTTTCCACGCTAACATTATCCCTGAATTCTCCTTTCTCTCCCTTTAGCCTTACAGTTTCACGTGAACAGCCGTGAAGTAACCCAGGGAGGAATACAACACACACACAAGTCCACAGATCTAAAAATGCATACTCACACACCCACACATAAATAGACCCACAAAGGCCACGAGGGCATAGCTTTCTGGAAAGGATGAGGCCTGTCTTCCAGCTATACAGTGGGGTCTTTTCATTGACCCAACTGACCCTTGGCTGCTGGAAGGACAGGCACATCACGTCATCAAGATCCCCTCTGCAGTTCATTCATGTGAAACAACAGATTCTAAGAGGATATCTCAGGCCTTCCCTGGTCTGTCTTCTCACACTCTCCACATCTATATAGATAATATTCAGCTAAGGTGCTGTGGATTGAGAATGACTCTCTAGCTAGAGTGGGTGACCCATCCGCCTGTGGGTTAAAGACATCCCCTACACGACTCAAGTCTCCTCCTACCAAAAAGCTTCTGCAGGACTTGTCCATCATATAAATCCTCAGCCAGATCCTTCACGATGATTCTTTCTCCAACCAACACGTCATTAATCCAGTCAATTAATACCTAGAGAGAAAACAAGAATGAGAGAAGAGTTACAGGATATTTTCTTATAGACCGGCTTTCTCATCCTGAACAATTAAAATCTAGACAAACTTCAGATTTTTAAAAGCACAACTATCCACATCGCCCACAGAGCATGAGTGCCAGGGGCCCTGTTCATTTTCAGGTGTATGTCCTTCTAATGCTGGCAGCACCAGTGTCCCTGTGAATCTCTTCCAGCTCCTACAGTTCCTTACTGTAATGGTGACATTCACAGTGTGTGGCCATGTGGCTTTGTGCCAGGTGGGAAGGGCTTTGGAGCTATCCAAACTGGTTGAAACCCAGCTCTACCCGCTAACCAGTTGTGTGCACGTGCTATTCTACGATCTACATGCCTGTGTGTGTGTGTAGGTGCATGCACGCCCCTGTCAGCTATGAATCTAAGGTGAGCTAGTAATTTTCTCTGAGCCTCTGTAAAATTGAGCATGAAAGTACTTCCGTATTAGGTAGAGGGAAAGTATCACCACATATTCAATGAAATGCAGATCTTACTAATAAATAAAGCACTGGCTGACTCTCCCATTGTGGCATTGACAAGGTAGTTACTGTTACCCCTGGGTTCTGGAGGGTTAATCAGCATGGAAGTGAACAGGTCTACCCAACCAGGGGTGGAGCGGGAGCGGAACCCTCATCCACCTCTCTCTAAAGTGCACATTCCTCTCTCCTCGCCAAGGCATCTCTCATGGGGCAGGGGCAGTCTCGATTCTCCTGTCTATCTGTTAGCAGCTGTCAGGACCTGAAACCTACTGTGCGCCAGGCACTGGGTGGAGGCACTACCTGTGATATCTCATTCAGTTAATCCACACCACACCCCTGAGTGGCATGGGCCATTGCCTTCACTTTTCCGGGAAGAAAACTGAAACTTGTATATAGTTGTGCCTCAGTTTCCAAGGAGACAGGCTTCATGGATACCAAAATACATGGATGCTCAAGTCCCATACACAAAATGGTGAGGCTTTTTTTATTTTGCAGTTTTTGGTGGAGGCCGGGTTTGAACCTGCCACCTTCAGTATTTGGGGCTGGTGCCCTACTCCTTGAGCCACAGGCACTGCCCAATGGTGAGGCATTTTCACAGAACCTACATATACCCTTTATGTACTTTAAATCATTTCTAGATGAATTATAATGCCTAATACAGTATAAATACAGTGTAAATAGTTGCTATACTGTTTTTTGGGTTTTTGTATTTTTTGTCATATTATTTATTTTTTCCGAATATTGTCTGTCATTGATTGAATGCACAGATGTGGAAACCATGGGTAAGACAGGCCAACTGCACTGCCTTTTTTTTTTTTCTGTTTGTTAAGATACTATATATAGCTTGATCATGTCTCATTTATTTATTTTTGGTGTTGCTGCAATTGCCAATGGGGTCTTCTTCATAAAATCTTTCCCCAGGCTGATTATGTCAAGAGTTTTCCCTATACTTTCTTCTAGAATTTTTATTGTTTCATGTCTTAAATGTGAATCTTTTATCCAGCAAGAGTCAATTTTTGTCAGTGGTGAGAGGTACAGATCCAATTTTAGTCTTCGACATGTGGCTAACCAGTTCTCCCAGCGCCATTTCTTACATAGGGATTCTTTTCCCCAGGGCATGCTTTTGTTTGGTTTATCGAAGAGTAGACAGTGACACATGGCTGGGTTAAGGGTCCAACAACCCAAGTAAAGAGATAGCCTTCAGAATGGGAGAAGATATTTGCTTGCTACGAATCTGACAAAGGGCTGATAACTAGAATCTAATCAATAAGAAAAGAGCAAACAACCCCATTTACAAGTGGACAAGAGACTTGAACAGAAACTTCTCTGAAGATGACAGACGAATGGCCAACACACAGATGAAGAAATGCTCATCATCTCTCATCATCAGAGAAATGCAAATCAAAACTACTCTGAGCTATCGCCTAAATCCAGTGAGATCAGCCAACCTCACAAAGTCTCAAATCTGCAGATGCTGGCGTGAATGTGGAGAGAAGGGAACACTTTTGCACTGTTGGTGAGACTGTAAACTAGTACAACCTCCATGGAAAGAAGTATGGAGCATTCTCAAAGAACTAAAAGCCCACCTTCCATTTGCTCCCACAATCCCCTTGCTATTTATTGCAGCTCAGGTCACAACTGCCAAGATGTGGAAGCAACCCAAGTGCCCATAACCCCATGAATGGATTTACGAACTGTGATATATCATGGAATACTAATCAGCCATAAGAAAAAATGGAGACTTTATATCTTTTGTGTTTACCTGGATGGAGTCGAAACACACTTTTCTTAGTAACGTATCACAAGAATGGAAAAACAAGTATCCAATGTAGTCAATACTAATAGGAAACCCATATATAAACAACTATGTGCCCACAAGAAAGAAAAACCCAAGTATATTCTAGTGGGGGGAGGGCAACTGGCAGGATCTCACCTACTATGCACAATGTGAGGGTGTTCAGCATGCCCCCTGGGTGAAGGGCTCAACTACAACTTGAACTTTACCTTAGAAATGAAAAGTACCTTCATATTAATCCGAAATTTAAAAAGATATAATGAAAAGTCAAATCTATCGGTACCAATTTTAAGATACGGCGTTGAGCTGTGGTCATTATATGCAGCTCATCATTTAGTGCAGGAGACAGAGGAGCATAGGAGGAGCTATAAAGTCATGCAAAGATAACAGAACTAAAGACAGGGACCCCAGCAGCACAGAGGGCCTGAGGGGTGGTGCTGGAGTCCAGAGCAGGCCCAGGCATGCTAGGCAGAGGGGTCTGCACGAGCCAGGCAGACCGCTGGGAGTGAGTGTGGGCTGGTGGGGCGAGCAGGTCTGGTGTGCCTGTGTTGCCAGCTGGAGAAGCAGCTAGAGTGTGGGCCCCAAACGCCACCCCGTAATGTGGGTGATTCGCAGGAGACGGCAACTACAGACAGGTTTTGAACGGGAAAATGATGTATTGGACTTACTTTGGGAATGAATCACTCTGGCATTCAGTGCCTTTTGGGGTGAAGTGCAGCTCAAGGAAGCTGAAGAGGAGGAACACAGGACTGAGAACACAGAGGAGGAGGAGAGACAAGCAGTTTGGAGGGGGACTGCATGCCAGCCGCTGTGCCCAGCCGCTGTGCGGGTGTATCCTGCACAGTACTTCAACAAATCTCCTTTATTTCTGCTTGAATTCCATCTCTTCCACTCAGCTACGGCCACAGACAAACCACTTGGCTTTTCTGAGATGTGGTTTCCTCATCTGGAAAATGGGGATGCTACTAATTCCTACTCCACAGGGTGCTTTGAGGGTGCCTGAGAGAACTTTGTGCTCCGAGATCCTGGTCCCCAGGAGCTGACTTGCGCTGATTTCTCTGGTGTTCATGATCACCGCCATTGGCTGGGCATTTGCCACATACCATGTCAACACCATCACCTAAATTTTAGATAGCTGTCTACGAGCCCACATGCTGCCTGAGGCAGGGGCCACTGTGACTCTTCATTCTTTCTGAGTGGACCATGGGGCAGCTAGGTGGTCTGTAGGTCCATGGACAGCACAGCTGGTCTGCAGACACCAGTGGCGCCTGTGAGGCACTGGAAGACTTTAGCTCATCCTAAAGTCTTCTTACCTTCATCAGTTCTTGCAGTTTGGGGTCGCTGCGTGAGTTTGGATCCACCATCGTTCGTACTTCATTCTCCTCTTTAAAAAGAAAAGGAATTCAGTGGGGGTGATTACACGGGAGGGCGCTACGTGAATCCAGAGACAAGAGGTAGCTTACCCAGCATCGTGTCCTCGGGGTCCAGCTCGAAGGGGATTGGGCTCAGGGGCAGGTTGATGGCGTTCATTCCCTCTTCCTGAAGCTCGGACACTGAAAGAAAACGGAGAGCTGGGTCATGCTCAGGGCAGGGTCACTGCACTTAGCACGTTCAATATCGGGATTGAGAAAAAACTCTCAGGTTAAATTACAGCTGTTACTCAGCCTACAATCGATTCATGGCCTCACCTTGCTGAAAGGCCCTAATTGTCCCCTTAATCTCACCTCTTCCAACTGTCATCCCACTTGCTTTCCTTGGAGAAATTCTTGACAGCACAGGAATCTGCTTCCTGTCAGAAAAGATTTCAGAATAAACAGAAAGGAGGTGGTGGGGACTGACTTCTTTCTGAAGTCTAGCCTTCCACCTAACCTACCTCTCCTCCTCAGAGCTCCTGTCTGGGGTCTGAGGGTGCCTAGCAGCTGTTGACTGGGTGAGTGAGGTCACCGATTTGAGGCTTTCTGTGCATTTATCAGCCACTTCCATCTTCTGTTCAACCCTCCTCTGACTTCTCTCCTGGTTTGATTCCCTAAGGTCCTGTCCTTTCCTTTATTTTTTACTTTTTTATTTTTTGAGACAGTCTTAGTCTGTTGTCCTGGGTAGAATGACATAGTGTCACCCTAGCTCACAGCAATCTCAAACTCTTAGGCTCAAGAGATCCCCTGGCCTCAGCCTCCTGAGGTGCCCACTGTAACACCTGGCCAGTTTTAAGTAGAGACAGGGTCTCACTCAGGCTGGTCTTGAATTCCTGAGCTCAAGCAGTCACCTATCTTTGCCTCCCAGAGTGCTAGGATTACAGGTGTGAGCCACTGTGTCTGGCCAGGTCCTTTTCTGATTATCCAACCTCCCTCCATCTCCTAACCCCAGCTGAGGCTCAGAAATGCCTCTGCCCCAGCTCCCTTCCTGTGCTCTGGCCCTGTCTCTTCAGATCTAACGAGCTATGGGACCTGAGATCAGGTGCCTCACCTCTTTAGGCCCCTTTCTGCAGCTGGAAATGAAGAGTTGGACTGGAGGACCAGAAAGTTCTTTTATAGTGTTCAAATCCTAGAAATCTATAACTCTACTTTCCTCAAGAAAAACAAAAAGAGGTCAATGAGCACTGAAGACCACTAGACCACTCTCTTCCAAGTACCCCACCTCCACATAGAGCCTTGGTACAAAATCATTCCTCCCGTAAAGCCAGCTGTATGACCACGCTTGGTAAGGGCTGACCTTGGATTACCCCTCCCCAAAGCAGTGACTTAAATCCCCTTATTCTCTCCAATTAAGCACAGAAAGGCCGTTTTCTCAGAAGGCAGTGGTTACCGAGAGGTTCTTAAAGAGCTAATAGGGCAGCTGCAATCAACCTTAATAAAAGCAACATCCCATCTTTCCATTTTATTTTATTTTTTATTGACTTTGGCCTCATCAGTTGCCAGCATAGACTTGTAAGAACTCTTGAGCACAAGGCAGCCACTTACAAAGAGTCCTTTCATGGCAGCAATTCTCTGATAGTTGCAGTTGGCCAGGGAAGGGACTGTCAAACAAAGACAGCGAAACACACACTACCCTGAAGAGACAAATCTCACATGATGAGGCTGGGATTCAGGCCTTTTGCAGTGGCCCTTGACATTCACAAAGGACATTAGCCAGTCACCAGCCCAAATCTCCCGTTTCAGTCATCCACCATTCTATAGAATTCTACTCCAAAAAACATAACAGAAAAACATCGGCAGTACCTTCAAAGCTTAAATGATTTTTTAAGCATGGCATTGCATTTGTTTTCTAGTTAAGAACAATGGCTTCTTTAGATTTCTATGATTTCTTCTAGTATCTTCCCTAGAACTACCAGTTTGCTTTCTTTTCCAGATTGATTTCTCACAAAGCATCATAGTGTTCATTAGTTTGTTAATAAGCATGCTATGCATGTAGTGGGCAGCGGAAATAGTCATGTTTAAATGTGGATGCGAGGCTGGGCTTACCGGCCAGGGAAGATACTTGCTTCTGCCGGGGACTTTCTCCCCTCTAGCTATAGTCTCCCCCCAGGTCTATACTTCCCAACACAGCAGCCACTAACATAAGCTGTTTAAATTTCAGTGAATTAAAAGTTCAGTCCCTGAGGCACAACAGTCACTTTTCAAGTGCTCAAGGGCCTATGTGCAGCTGGTGCTTACTATACTAGATAGCACAGATGGTTCATCACAGCAAGTTCAAATGCATGGTGGTGTCCTAGGTGATCCCACTCATTTACATCTCCAGCCCAGGCCTGACCCTGAGCTCCAGGCTGGTGAATCTAACAGCTTATTTGATGTCTCCTCTTTAAGTCTGTTAGTAACAATATCAAATTTATACATCCAAACAGCACTTGAGATTTTCAACACCCCACATCCACTGTAATAGCACCAGAACCTGTTGTTTCCATAGCCTTATCTTCCTCAGTAGATGGTACCACTGTTTTCAGAATGGTTTAAGCCAAAATTCAAGGAATCACCTTAAGTTCTCCTCCTTCCTTACCTTTTGCACACATCTAATACTTCAGAAAGTTTTGTGGGCTCCACCTCCAAACCAGAAAGTCCAACCACTTCTCGCCATCTCCTCCCTCCACTGTCCTGGCTTTAGCCACTGTTATCTTTGACCTGGACTACCAGACCTACCTTCCAACTGGTCTACGGCTTCTTCTCACATTTCCCTTCCTCCCACCTTCTTCCCAGAGCATGGCTAGAATGTCCTATAAAAATGTAAACAGGATCATTCTCTTGCTTTAAACTTACTTTCGTAAATAGAATAAAAGCCCATCTCCTAACTATGACCTATATAGACCTTCAGACAAGCCTCTGCCTCTGTTTTATTTTCTTCCTTATACTCATCACGGTCTGAAATAATTATTGCTCTGTCTAGTCACTATGTCCTCTCCCTAGAATGTAAGTTTTACGAGGTGTAGCACTTATTTGCTCACTATTAGAGCCCCAAAGAGGCCAGATGGTATAGTGGTTAGGAGCCAGCTATCAACGTTCAAATCTCAGGCTCGACCCCTTACTAGCTATGTGTCTTTGGGCAAGTTCATCAGGCTGTTACACTTCAGATTCTTCATTTGCAAAATGGGAGTGATAACAACATTGTCTACCTCCCATTGTTGGGTTATTGAGAATAATAAATGAGTTCACCCAAACAAAGTACTCAGAAAAGTCCCTGGCACCTGGGAAGAGCTGTGTAAATATGTGCTGCTATTATTATTACTTAAAACAATACCTCAAGCATACTAAGCACTCAGAAAGAATCTGTTGAATAAATAATCCAAACTATTAAGACCATCCTTGGACTGCAAGGTTATGAGTAGAACAGAATTTGCCAAAGCAGTATATGTGATAATAAGGATTTCACTGTGTATGTGTGGGGAAGGGGTTTTATTTATATTTTAGCCCCATCCTGAGCGCACGGCACTTCTCCCTCGCTTTCTGTACTGTTGCATAGCCAGAGCCAATGTGTAAATATGGAGGTATTTAAACACCTTTAAATTGTGAGCAGAAATGCAGCCTTTGCAGCCAGAACTCCTCGAGGTGGCTCTGATCAGGTCTCTTTCTATGGGTAGGTCCATGTTAAAAATGTTTGCAGATGAAAACTCCCCCAGTCAGAAACACGCCCCTCTGCCCTGCCTCTTTAATTCACTCACAGAGACACAACAAACTTCAGAAGAAAGGCTGAGATATGTTTGCAATTGGAAATTTTTTTTCAGGAAATGATTTGGTACAGGAACATCATTCCCATTCCATTAACTGCTGACTCTGTGCCAACTGTTTGTAAAAGTGAGTATGCAAACGGCCCGATTCGGGCCTGACCCCGCCCCACGGGGCCCCATTAGTGGCCACTTTCCCAAAACAGCCCTCCTGCTTTGGAGGTTTCATTTCTATTAAACCAAAGCAGGACCCAGCAGCAGCCCCTGGCCAGTCCTTGCGCTCTGAAAGAGAGAGAGCTGCAATTGAATTTTCTCGGCACAGAATGTGAATATGATGTTTATCCCCCGAACCTCCTCTCACAATCTAAAAAACTAGGTCTGAATGTGCAGCCCTCCATGTCTCGCAGCGCCATTAGTCATAACTTAATAAACAGATTAAATGCCCAGCTGAAGGTTGGGCTTGGGAGAGCAGGGAGATTGCCTCAACTCCCGAAGCGCTCATCACGAGAAAGGGGGCTCTTCTTTTCTGGGAAGCGCAATCTGACTCCAGTCCAGCTGTGTAGCAGAAAGTACATAGATGGGCTTTGGAGTCTGAAAGAGCTAGATTTGAACTCTACTTCTATTTTTATCAGTCATGGGGCCTTATGTAAGTGCACTGACCTCTCTAAAGTTCTGTCTGAAACAATTCTCTGTCAAACAAGGGTGTAGCTGACACTGCTGGTTTCCTCCCCCATACGTACCCCTTTTCTTGGCTGAAAGAGCCTTCCTCTTGTACCCCCCTCCCTCCTATGGTTCAAGGTAAAGTCCTGACTGGTTTAAAGGCTTTATGATGATCTCAAATCTGGGCAGTAATAGTGGGTGGCTCAAATACTGTCATATTAATTCTGGTCAATGAGCTGTGAGAAATTTCTAGAGGCTATTAAAAATAGTTTTCTTCCATTTTAAAGAGAGGACCAAGGAAGGGAAGGCATCTTTTTCCTTTATCAGGAGGTTATGCCTGAATTTACTGCAGCCATTTTGTAGCCATGAGGTAAGTGAACCCAAGGAAGAAGTTCACAGGCTGAGGTTAGCAGAGAAGAAAGGCAGAAAGAGGAAACTCTTGTTGATACTTTTAAGCCACCACCCCTAGAACCACTCTAGCTCTACATGTTTTGTTGTAGGAGATACAATAAATGCCCTTATTATGTAAGCCAGTGGTAAAGTAGGCATTTTAGGGGCCTTGGAGTCCAGTCTACCTGGTACATGGAAACACACAGTATTCGAAAGTCAGTGGGTGAACAGAATATGTCCATATTGTATGGTGATTTCACGCTCCTTTTTTCCATGAAGAATAGAAAAATGATAGGCATATCTTATACCCAATGTATATCTAGGAACTCAAAGAATACCAAAGGGGAAAATGAA